ACGAAGTCATTGTGATCGCGGCCGGCAGCGCCGCCCAGGGAGCTCGGGCCTGCCAGGAAGTCGAGCGCAGACTGCAGCAGCGACATGGCCGTCGCAGCGACACCGCAACCCGGAGAAGCCCGAGTGGCCGGGCTGCAGCTCCGTTCCGGGCCCCTCAGCAACCGCTGGCCCCGAGTTCCACCATCTTCCGCCCCGGCACTGTGACGTAAGAGCGCGGGAGAACGCGTCGTCAGGTGGCGTCGCGGCGCAGCCCGCCCCACGCCTCACTTCCGCTGCGCGGGCCGGACGCGCATGCGCGGAGGCGCCGGCCGGTAGGGGGCGCGCGTGCGCGGAGGCGCCGGTCACGGGACGCGTTTCTGGTCGCCCAGTTCGCAGCGCCGGGCTGTCCGCAGCTGAGACGCGCGGAGGAGTCGCCGCGGCGACTCTCGCCCAGGTAGTCTGGTCCCTGGCCCGGCTGCTAACCGTCCCCCCCTGGGCTTCTGGCTGGCGCGTTTTGGGGGAGGCTGACCCGCAGGCTGCTCGTAGCCAAGCCCCGGGTGGAATCCGTCCGCCCGTGCGAGGGGCGCCTGGCTTACGAATTGAGGGACGGAACCGTTCCCGCCTCGGAACGATTCCCCGTACGCATGAAGCACGCAATCAAGGCTTAGTCTTGCCTCTGTAGACCGCGGCGCGGAGGGGGTCTGGTCGGCGGGCCCCGCCCCGTGGGTGTGCCCCTCCGGCCACGGCGGCCGGCCAGTGAGGGGCGGCGGTCGCTGCCCGGAGCCAGGGCCGGAGCAAAACCCCAGCCCTCGGCCACCGAGTCCCTTGCGACTCATCGAGACCCTGGAAAGGTTTTTTATTTCTCTCCCGCAGAGCCGCCGGCGGCTTTGAACCCAGACCAGTTCATACCCAACGGTGCCACCAGCGCTCCCTCCTTTGGGTTGGGCCCAGGCAAACTGAAAAATAAAATAACTTCCTGCCGTCCAGTCGATTCCGACCCGTAGCGACCCCGTGCGTCTGGTCCCGGGCAGCGACCCACCATCCTGGATCCACAACAAGGCCGGGACTCGTCCTGTGCCCACACGCGGCCCATCCGTCCCCGTCTCTTTGCAAGCTGACCTTTTCCTGGCAAAAACTCCCTCCCTCCCCAGGGTCAGTTGGGAAGCTTCCTGATGTGTGTGGGGGCGGGGCGGCAGTGGGATGACTTGTGGGTGGTGAGAGGCAACACGTGGGCCCCAATCACACTTTTTGAGCTTGTGGCTGTTTGGATCCACCACGCTTGCTCTTTCATGAAGTCGTTACTAATGTATAGACTGGGCAATTTAAGTTTGGAAAATCCAGCTCTATCGGGCTATCCAGAGGCACTAGTTGAAGCGCGCTGGGCAGCTAACCTGAAGGCTAGCTGCAGCTACTGTCCGCATAGGCAGCCTGGAAATCCGTTCCTGTTAACCCTGCTCTGAATGCGAACTGATGCAGCAGTGGCTTTGGTGTAGTTGGGTGACTGGCAACATTGGGCCCAGAATCCTGAGTGTCACCAGTTGCCTAGAGCTAACCCCCCTCCAGGGGAAAGGGGCAGCAGTAGATCCCTCACCTTCCAAGTAGGACACCTGGCTTTGGTTCCCAGCCACTACCAGCTCAGTAGAGGAGGCATGTGTTTCCTGACCTGGTTTCAGCAGAGCTAAGACAGACTAGGAAGAAAGGCCTGGTGGTCTAGTTCACAAAATCGAGCCAATGGAAATCTTGGATTCAAAGCAGGCTGGTCTAAGGACAGCAGGCAGGAAGGAACCCTAGAGGCAGAGGGGTTACGCATTCGGCTGCCAACCACAAGGCTGGCCGTTTGAAGCCACTGACCACTCAGCGGGAGAAAGATGAGGCGCTCTACTCCCATAAAGAGTTGTTGCCAGGTGCCATCCAGTCGATTCTGACCCCCAGCGACCCCTGTGCACAAAGAATAGAACACTGCCTGGTCCTGCGCTGCCCTCACAACTGTCCCCATGCTTGAGCCCATTGTTGCAGCTGCGGCGGCAGTCTGTCTTGTTGAGAGCCTTCCTCTCTCTCCCTCTCTGCTTCACCACACATGATGTCCTTCTCCAGGGACTGCTCTCCTGACAACAGGTCCAAAGGTCTCGCCATCCTTGCCGTTAAGAAGCACTTTGGCTGTTAATGTCTTCCAAGACAGATTTGCCTGTTCTTTTGACGGTTCATGGTACTTTCAGTAACCTTTACCAACACCATAGTCAGTCTGGGGTTTTAGAGGGTAGCCGCGAGTTGGCAACAACTTGATAGCAGAGAGCTTGTTTTTTGGGGAGAATAGCAGACCCCTCCAGGTGGGACAGGCTTCAGCAATCCTTCCAGACCAGGCAGGATGGGTTGTTCACAGATACTTCACCAGCCCCAACCCCCACCCCCCACCCCAAACACATGCGCATGCGCCTGGGTCACTGGTGCCACCTGCTGGAGTACTCAACGTATTTTAGGTTGCAACCTCTTGATTAGATCCCTAAACTCAGAAACACGGAACCTTTGTGGCATGGTAGTTACATGTTGGGCTGCTCACCTCAAAGCCAGCAGTTCGAAACCACCAGCCACTGCCTTGGAGAAAGAGAAGGCTTTCAACTCCCGGGAAGAGTTGCAGTCTCAGAAACCCACAGGAACAATTCTACCCTGCCCTGTCGAGCTAAGAGTCCAAATCGACTTGGCAGTGAGTTTGATGCTTTTGAGCTTGAAACTCAGAAGTGGGTCCAAAGTTCAAACCAGTATCTTAACCCATCCAGCCTTCCGAGCCCCTGGACACATCTTTCCAGGGCCTCTCCGAGGGGCTGCAGGCCCTGTGCTGCCTGGGCCTTCCCTGTCATTTGGATCCCTCGTCTGACAGCACACGTATGGGTGCCCTGCACCAGCGCTCTGCCCCCACAGCTCAGCCTGAGTGCCCGGGTCCCTGCTCTGCTCCCTCGGTGAACGGCTCACAGAGCTCGAAGGAGCTCCCGCTGCCCCAACCCTGTGAGCGAGCACCACAGACGCCTCGCTTGGAGACAGACTCGGGTGGGGGTGGCTTGTCCCCAGTCCCCTAGGACTATGGGCCACCCTGAGTGAGGGTGATAGCAGGGAGAGGAGGCACCCAGGCTGGACTGGCACGGGTAACAAGTGAGCATTCCATGTGGGGATGCCCCCTGGCCACCGAGCCTGTCAGGGAAGGCTCCCTCAGTGACCACCTTGTGGAGTGTGACCGACTGCAGCGTGGTGACTGTGCCTGTTGGGGGGAGGGGGGTCTTGCCCGAGTCACCCTGTCTGGGGGGCTCACCTGGGGTGAAGAGCTCACTTGGGTTCCATCAGGAGTGGATGCTGACCCAGATGGCCACGGCTGGTTGGGGAAGGACTTGCCCCCTGGTGGCCATGTCTGGGTGGAGTGACCACATTTGGGGCCTCTGCCACAGCAGCCCCATCCTGATTGGAAGGGCTCATCTTGTGAGCAAGCCGAGTTCAGGCTATATGGCCTTGGGCGGGGAGCTCTGAACCTTAGTTTC